GGCCGCTCAGGGCCCGCATCGGCATCTGAGGGCCCATCTTGGCCTTTGAGGGCCCTCCGCTGGCCTCTGGGGTCCAACGCCGGCCCATACCGGTCTTTTAGGGCCCCACATTGACCTGAGGGCCCCATGCTGGCCTGTATGGACACACATTAGCCTCTATGGGCCCCGCACTGGATTCTGAAGACCCGATGCCGGCCTCTAAGGGTTCGCATCGGACTCTGAGGGCCCATCTTGGCCTTTGAGGGCCCTCTGCTGGCCTCTGGGGTCCAACGCCGGCCAATGCCAGTCTTTTAGGGTCCCATTCTGAAATTTGAGGGCCCCATGCTGACCTGTAAAGGCCCACATTAGCCTCTGAGGGCCCCCCGCACTGGAATCTGAAGACCCGATGCCGGCCTCTAAGGGTCAGCATCGGCTTCTGAGGGTCCATATTGGCCTTTGAGGGCCTTCTGTTGGCCTCTGGAGTCCAACGCCGGCCCATGCCGATCTTTTAGGGCCCCACACTGACTTCTGAGGGCCCGTACTGTCCTGTAAGGACCCACCTTAGCCTCTGAGGGCCCCGCACGGGCTTCTGAAGACCTGATGCCGGCCTCTAAGGGCCCGCATCGGCCTCTGAGGGCCCATCTTGGCCTTCGAGGGCCCTCTACTGGCCTCTGGGGTCCAACGCCGGCCCATGTCGGTCTTTTATGGCCCACGCTAACCTCTGAGGGCTCCATGCTGGCCTGTAAAGACCCACATTAGATTAGCCTCTGAGTGCCCAATTTGGTCTCTGATGGTCTCAAACTGCCCTTTGGAGGCCCTGTACTGGTCTCCGAGGGCCCTAAACTGGCCCCTAAGGGCCCAAACCAGCCTCTAAAGGTCCCACACCGGCCTCTGATGGTCCCATTTCTGTCTCTGGGACCCAAACTGACCCTTATGTGCCTCTGAGGGCCCCGTACTGGCTTCTGAAGGATCGATGCCGGTTTCTGAGGACCCGTAACGGTCTTTAAGTGCCTCATACCGACACCTGAGGCCCCACACTAGCCTCTGAGGGGGCCCAAAACTGGCCTATGAGGTCTCTACACCGGCCACTGATGGCCCTATTATGTTCTCTGGGGGCTCAAGCCTTACCTTTGGACGTCACGCACTTGCCTCTGAAGGCCCACATCAGCCTCTGGGGCCCTACCTGGGCCTTTGAGGCCCTTCGCTGACCCTTGGGTCCAACGCCGGCCTCTGGGGGTCTGACACCGTACTATAAGGGCCCCATTGCAGCCTCTAGGCGATAGGTATCGCTGAAGCGCTATCGATGGGCCGATAAGTGTAGGAACCATGGGTGCAGTGGGCGCAGTTGCACCAACAATAATTCTGCATAGGGTGCAGACCATGTATTCTGCATCCACAATAATCTGGAACAAACCCCCTTTTCTCAGCAACACTACTTTCCATGCAGCACGACAAATTTAGGATATTTTGCCCACTATCCATCTTTCGAAGCATTTGCTACTGTAATCGTCTTCAAAACTTACATTTGTGCTCAAGTACCTAAAAAACAAAAATGAAACGGAACACGTGTGATTGAACAGTGAACAGATACCGATGACCCACTGTCAAAAGTTTTAGCACGATGACCTCAGAAAATTGCAAAGTTAGCCGTCTTTACTTTTGCGGTAGTCCATTCACATTTGCGTGAGTTATTGGCATTATCAATGCTTTAAAATGCACTTATCGGTACCTTTTCGACATGGAACATCCTCAAAGCTCGCAATGAGCCTCCGCTCGGGTGCCGCTCCCTACCCCCCCCCCCCCGCTTCACCGGCCATGGCCTGGATTTCTGCACCCGTGCACTACGCCCGTGGGCCCCTTTAAGCTAGCACTGGGCCCCCCGGGTCAGCGCAGGGGCCCCTTTGCCAAGTTGGCCCCCCCCCAAACTCCAAGTCTGCGACCGCCCCTGACCTAGCAGGGGCACCACAGGCCTGTCAGGGGCACCACTGGCCTCGCAGGGGCATCTTGGGCCCGTCAGGGGCACCTCAGACTTGTCAGGGCCCAGGGGCACCAGTACCACAGTCCTTCCAGGAGCACCACAGGCCTGCCAGGGGCACCAAAGGCCTAGCAGGGACACCACAGGCCTGCCAGGGGCACCACAGGCCTCGCAGGGGCACCTTGGGCCCGTCATGGGCACCACGTGCCTGTCGGGGACACTTCAGTCTTGTCAACGCCGCACCACAGTCCAGTCAGGGCCCAGGGACACCGGCCTCGCAGGGGCACCATGGGCCTGTCAGGGGCACCGCGGGCCTGTCGTTGGCACTTCAGACTTGTCAGGGGCACCACAGTCCTTCCAGAATCCAGAGGCACCACAAACCTGTCAGGGGCACTTGCGGCCTAGCAGGGGCACCACAGGCCCACCAGGGGCAACACACACACACACACACACACACACACACACACACACAAATTAAATAAATTAAAACAGGGCACCATCAAAATGAAGTGGCCGAAATCCGTTCAGTTTTTAATTTTGGGTATATAGGTAGGGGCACCACTTCGATTCATGCCCCCCCCCCCCCTTGGAGTTTTCCTGGATCCGCCACTGGATGTACGTCTTTTTTCTTTACCTATGTTGATGTGAAGTTAGGTAAGTGTTCGTTATATGAAATCGATGCTATATTACAGCGTGTTATATGAGTAGTGTCATAAGTCTGTGTACCCTAGCATGCGCTAAGCAGCCATGAACGGCTGACATCGATTCGAGGAATGTTATTTGGGTTAGTCATGAAATGTTCAGGACTGAGTGCACTGTGCACAAATGATTAACAGGAGGGTAGGTACTGTACAATGTATATTTCGTCACGATCCGCCGCTTTGTACGCGAGTAAACTTTCACGAAAAACCAAAGAGGAGCCATTCGACCCCCGGCTCCCCACATATTATAAACATCCTAAACCTAAAAGTGCGAGACGAGGTCGAAGTCAAACCAGCGCATGCCCACGGAAGTGAGTACGTTCTTGAACTTAGTCTCACGACACTATGTATATACATAGATGAAGTCACAACTCACAATTGCGTACCGCACCCATGTGGATGATAAATAAACCACTTCCTGTAGCTGCGTAGTCGAGGTCGATAGGTACAGTTTATGACACGCCTATAACTCGTATCATCGTATCGTAGGTATCAGCAGAAACAGGCCACTGAGCCCTGGTCCTACTATGCCTCTTCTCATAATGCGTACGACGGCCAAGAAGGAAGGGGAGCGGAGGGGGGGGGGGGTAGATGGCACGATACCCTGACCTTCATATACTCCTTACAAGTCCGATGACCGATGACTGGAATAAGATTTTGCAGTGCGGACCTTGCATGACGCCGTTTCCCCTCGCCGGACCTATCGGTTTTCCACAAACGCCAAGGCCGAGGCCGTGCGGCGTGCACACGCTCGTTTTTTTCCCCGCAGACTAGCTCAGTTAGGTGCAAAACGGCGACGAGGAGTGTTATTCGCCGGCCGCCCACCCCCTCGGCCAGAGGGAACACCTCCTCATCGGCCGCCCTTTCGCACCTAAAGCTAGTCTCGCGGACTAAAAAGAGCGTGTGCACTGTGCACCCTTACGAGACGCAGAGACTAGGACACGATTTGAACGCCTCAGATTAGGAAGTGACCTCTGAGGTCAGGTCAAGTGCTGCAAGGAAAGGGTTTGGTTTTGGATAATTATGCCAAAAATGGTCGCTGAGTCGAGATTTTGCACAATCGTGCTCGTCATGCGCAGACACATGGACTGATGTACTTTTTGGTTGATTGAAGTCAACTAGATGTTGACCACAAGTCAAGGTCGGGTCAAAACTACTCAGACGGTAACCAAAGGAGGTCATAAATATCGCATATCATTCGATTCGGCAGGTTTTCCTAAGTCTATCATTGGCCTTTGCTTTTTTGATCGGGAGCCTTTGATGAAAAACTACGATGGTCTTAGAGACGTCATATACGACGACGACGCCACACAGACAACATACAACAGCCAACAATGCAAATGTAAAGAAAGAAAAAAAAACTCGCAAGAGTGAATGAAAGCTCGAATTCATGTGTATGAGGTGGTTTAGATCAGTTCTCACACACCACGATAATATGAGGTATCAGACTCGGGCATGGGATGCGGGATGAATGATGAGACATGCTCATCACTCAACACTGCTGTCGATATTCGACCAGCCGATAGTCAGACTATCGGAGGGACGCGATGGCCGCGTTTACCAGAGTCGGCCCGGGGGAAAGGGAATGGGGTCAAAGCGAAACGGCGGGCAGTGCCGTTGTATGTACCGCTCATGCACAGGGTCGGTCGCAGCATGTTATGTAAAAAATCGATAGGTCAGGCCGAGGTTGAAAGTTCAAAGATAGGCGAAAGTCCATAGGAAACACTTCGAGGGATCAGTTGGCCAGGTATCAGTCAATATTATCACTAAGGATGATGATCAATAGCACACACAGTCTAATGCGCTGGCAAGGGTATTAGCTCATGCAATTTCGGAAAAAATACAACAGCGTATACAGGTCATACAAAACTGAAAAGCGTTCGCAACAAAACCATTTTAACTATTGCAGGCACCATATGTGGACTGCGAATGCATTTATCGTCGACAGCATACAATGGTAAAATCGATACGACTTATTCGGCTCACATCTATCTATTATTCACGCAGACAAACCGGCCATGTCCATGTGTGCCTTATGCTCTGTGCTCTATCTGACCATAAAGCATAGGGCACACATGGTGTTTATCTGCGTGAAGACACACTTCACAAGACACACTTCCGGGCGTCACCGTGCCTTGTGGACTTTGTCTCTCTGAACTATGTCCCCGATCTTTCCCAGTAGCGCACTTGTCACTGCCAACTGTCATACTCGAGCCGCGTTATCAACTCGATCGATAATGCACTGCTAGCTACCGAGCAAAGCCTCCAGCGCACGGTTCGGTCCGCCCGGTGCGTTCAGCCAGACGCACAGTGGCCAATGCCCATCATTGAAGACGGCAGTGGTAAATGGTCGCGTTGACTGTATATTTGTAATTTGGCAATACAAACTAAAGCAGCCATATAGGGAACACAGGCAAGAAAAGGCAGAAAAAATACAGAGATTCCGTACGTTTGTGATGGACATACGTTCAGAATAATATCAGTTCACTCTTTTCCCTATAAAGATAATTCACATGCAGGACTACCTAACTATAGTCACCGTTCCATTCCCCTGAAGCCATACCCACGACGCTGTCACAGCTAGCATTACCTGATGACAAAACCGACGACATACCCAGCCTGTTCTACCAACGACTATACAAGCCTCAGCCGACAGCGCGGCACGTGACACTGGTCCATGTATGAAAACTTCGCCAATTAGCTAACCAAAAGGACTACCTAAACAATAAACATACACACTAAACCCGCACATTGTAGCCTGATCGCATGCGGCAATGCCCTGAACAGAAGATATGTTGAGTACCTACAACGATCGGTCTAAACCGCAAATAGCAGCACGAGTCTTGCTTTTGGCTACTTGTTTCTGGTTCAACAAGCACATGTTTTGTATCACGGAGGTTCTTACGGTTAACACGGAAACAATTAGTGGTTGTCTTTATCCTACCGACGAGTGGGGTGAATCACATATACGTTCTTTTAAAAGAGTGATGGGCGTGAATTGATCCAGTGAACGACAAGTGAAGTGCTTCAGAACACTGTGTAGAAACATACACCAAATAAATACGGCGCTACACCGGCTACCTACTGCTGGGCGAGAAGCGGGCAGAGGCAGTGGCCGAGCTACGCTGCCTTTTTACTGAGCAGCTCGTCGGAGAGGTGTCCGTACACCTCGGCCATGCTGCGCTGCACCTGGTCCAGGAGACGCGGCACGTCCTCAGTGGTCAGGCCGGCCGTCGGCACCGGCTCCAGTGCCTGCACCACGGCCCGGCCCGGCTCGAAGCGCCACTCGCGCGGCTCCAGGAAGTGCTGGTACGGCCCGAACACGATCGGCACCACGGGCACCTGCGCCGACACGGCCATGTGGAAGGCGCCCTTCTTGAAGGGCAGCAGGCCGGCGCCGCGGTTACGGGTACCCTCCGGGAAGAACCACACCGCCAGACGCTCGTCACACATCCGCTGCTGGGCGTGCAGGAGCGACTGCCGCGCGCGAGCAGGGTTCGAACGGTCGATGAAGATCTGTCCGCAGAGCCAGGCGCCCAGCGCGAACGGAAAGCCCAGCCAGATCTCGCGCTTCATGACGGTGACGAGCCGGCCAAAGTGCGGCCACAGCTCCACCATGCCGAGCACGTCGAGCGCGTCGCGGTGGTTGGCCACCACCACGCAGGCAGTGTCGGCGCAGAGCCGCTCGGCGCCGCGCACCTGCCACTCGACGCCGAGCAGCCAGCCGATGGCGCGCAGCGGCCGCGTGAACAGCAGCGAGTTGCGCGGGTCGCACGGCCGGCGCAGGCCCAGCGGGGTCACGCACAGGCCAACCACCAGGCCGCCCAGGTACAGCACCGACTGGCGCATCAGGTAGCGGCAGCGTCTGCTGCAGTCGTACAGCACTGCCGCCGACAGCATGGCCAGCAGCAGCAGTGACTCCAGCCACATGGCTACACCCTGAAATAGCCCACACCATCACACAATGACCCCTGAAATGACTCGCATAGCGAAAGACTGCTGCCCAGGACAGCCATAACCATAGGTACCTACAGTCTCTTTGGTCGGATAATGCCATGTGAGAGACAGCCACTCTGGAGAGACAGTTGTCCTATCGCGTGTCCACTTCCAAATCTAAATAGGTATTGAAACAACTTCACAAGCCCTCCAGCCTCAAATGAATGCATATGCACTATGCAGTTTGGCCTTTCATGCATGTTGCACTTGCATGTGGGATATCACTCATGAGTTATGTGTCAGCAGCCTGCAAAGCTTGGCAGCAGTTAACAAGTCACATCAGTCAGGGTGACAAATTTGATTTGAACCATCCAGTGTTAACCAGGCTGGCAATCTGCAGTCTGCACTGCCTGCACTAAACAAAACCTATCATTTTACCACAATCTTCACTTGTGATATAAAAACTACAGTAAAATCAAATTCTATGGGAATTTGACTGGGACTTGGAATTCCAGACTGGGAATTCCAGACTGGGAATCCATTCAAACCTGCTGCACTTAAAATGCCTAAACTTTTTTTTACACACTGCAAAGTTCAGAACTTGCACTTGTCCTAAGAAAAACACATTGTAAGTTATATGGATCCACTCAAGATCCAAGCAGGGCATTTTGGGCAAATGTCTCTAACAGCCACTGGCAGATCTGGGGGACACTTGGGACCAATGTCACCCTGCAGCACCCAAAATTCATGATTTTCAAGAATAAATTGAGAGCTTAACTTGTATTTGGAATTGTTTGATTAAAAGTTAAAACCGCACAGCGGTGTGTAGGGAATCACAATTTTTTTAAATTTTGAGAACCTTTCTTGGGGTTCTCAAATCCAAGACTGCCTTTCTGGATCTGCTTATTCTGCTAGTGCCTGAAATGTTGCGGTTTGCGGCGGGCGGCCGTTTTTTTTGCGGCGTTTCGCGGTTGGCGGCGGGCGCTGCGGGCTTTTTTTTGCGGCGGCGGTGTTTGCGTTTTTTGAGGTGTTTGCGTTTTGCGGCGAACGGGCGTTTTTTGCGGCTTTTTTGCGTTTTTCTGCGGTTTTCGACGGGCGGGCGATTGTTTCTTTTTTGCGAAGTTTGCGTTGGCGTTTTGCGCGTTTTGCGGCGTTTGCGTTTTGCGGCGGGCGGGCGGTTTTTCACATTTCAAGTCCCAACCTTCGGATCCGCAGTGCTGTTCGACAAGCGCTGCCCAGTCCCGCCTTACAGTTTAATTAAAAACAGCTACCCAAATCTACCCAAATAATACAGATAAAAATACAAGTCAATCATAAACCAAATTATTACAAATGCATTCAAATATATTCAAAAAGACACACAAAGCTTTCGGTTCATGGAACCTTGATCACTGTGCAAATGAGTATAACAATCGCTGTAACCGTCTAAAAATTCTTTGAAATTAATCAGCCGCGTGTTTTCTTCTTCTGCTAGTCTACCACCGATTTTGCTGCCATTGACGACCATGTGATGAATCCGCTCCTACTGTTAAACGTTTCACGTGTGATGATGTGGGCTGCTTCCAGGACCTTCCTTGTACCTTTCTTTATATTGTTTTCTAATATCTTCGTACCGTCCCAGTCAGGTCCCAGTCAGGTAAGTGGTTATACTTTTCTATATGCAGTACTATTGCATTTGATGTTCGGTGAAATTTTACATCGCTTCTGTGCTCCTTCAAACGAACTTCCACCCCTCTTCCCGTCTCCCCAACGTACGTTCTTTGGCACCCTTTGCATGGTATTTCGTAAACTACACTTTTTTCATCACTGGTATCTTTTTTGGTTTCATGGTGCTTGACTAAATCTTGAGTTTTCTTTCCTGTTACTGTAGCTACTTTGATATGTGACTTTTCAAGTGCTCTTACTATGATATCAATATTTTTCGAATTTGGGACCGAAATCCATCTCTTTCTTTTGTTGGCTTTTCTTCTCGTGTCATCTTCGTGTGCTTTGTTCGCACGTTGTTCGTCTCTTCTGTTGGCATCGTCGCCGTTTGCTTGGTTCGCGCGTCGTTCGTGTCTTCTGTCGGTCTCATCTTCGTGTGCTTGGTTCGTACGTTGTTAGAGTCTTCTGTTGGTGTCATCGTTTTGCGCTTGGTTCGTTTCTTGTTCGTATCTTCTGTTTTGTTCGTTTCTTCGATTTTTGATTTTTTCGGCTTTTTGTTCGAACAACGTGCGAACAAAGCACACGAAGATGACACGAGAAGAAAAGCCAACAAAAGAAAGAGATGGATTTCGGTCCCAAATTCGAAAAATATTGATATAGTAAGAGTACTTGAAAAGTCACATATCAAAGTAGCTACAGTAACAGGAAAGAAAACTCAAGATTTAGTCAAGCACCATGAAACCAAAAAAGATACCAGTGATGAAAAAAGTGTAGTTTACGAAATACCATGCAAAGGGTGCCAAAGAACGTACGTTGGGGAGACGGGAAGAGGGGTGGAAGTTCGTTTGAAGGAGCACAGAAGCGATGTAAAATTTCACCGAACATCAAATGCAATAGTACTGCATATAGAAAAGTACCTGACTTACCTGACTGGGACGGTACAAAGATATTAGAAAACAATATAAAGAAAGGTACAAGGAAGGTCCTGGAAGCAGCCCACATCATCACACGTGAAACGTTTAACAGTAGGAGCGGATTCATCACATGGTCGTCAATGGCAGCAAAATCGGTGGTAGACCAGCAGAAGAAGAAAACACGCGGCTGATTAATTTCAAAGAATTTTTAGATGGTTACAGCGATTGTTATACTCATTTGCACAGTGATCAAGGTTCCATGAACCGAAAGCTTTGTGTGTCTTTTTGAATATATTTGAATGCATTTGTAATAATTTGGTTTATTATTTACATCATCATCCAACCTGTCATGGATACCTACTCAACAAGTCAATCACCCAAACTAATGCACCCGTAACATAACATAAATCAAAACATACAGTTATCGCGTAAACCTGTACCTCTAGTATTTATAAAAGCTAACCTTTGACTGAAGAGGTAGATAAACACTTGAAACAACTATAATCCAAGTGCAGCTCTTCCTCCCGCCACTCTCTCCCCAGCTTTTTTCTCTGACTGAAGTGATTTTTGTAAACTATCAAGCCCTTGATCAAGCCAGAGGTATTCTGATGCTTCTCTTTGCACATCGCAAGACTTGGTTTTATTACGTCATGATAATTATTATGTGCATTTTAAACGATTTTTCCACTTATAAGTGAATGATTTAACGAAACTTGTCAGAAAAAAAACTTTTCATACCTTAATTGAGAAACACCATCTCTTTCATGATAGACGGCTATGAAGTTTTGCTCAGAACCTCTTACGTCAGATTGCATTATGTTTTCTATTAAATGATAAGGATATTTGAGTACAAATACTGCGCGCTTTTTTCAATATCGATTATGTTCTGCATCCTCAAAAACACCTAAAACTGTGGGTATTTCATACTTAAATCCAATCAAATAGCAGAACGGGCACAGAAGGCTTCCGCTCGCAGACATAAACGTAACAAATAAAACAAGATTTTCGGCATTTGATTGCAACGCCCAACGCACAACAACGCAGAGGTGCGACGCCTATCCGGTTCGGTTCAGGTTATAGTCTTTGCGCAACGCCTGTCAATAATAAAGTTGATGCGCCCTTTTTTCTTTTCAGAGCCTCTGAGTATCTTGTGTAAGCCCTGAGGGCTTACACAAGATACTGTAGGTGTGTTGGCCAACATTGTTAGAAAATAGAAGCCTGTTTACCTGTTTCTCGGTAAGATGGAACTTGCTCGCTCGTGCTACGTCTACCGCACCGATACCTATTTGAACATAGGTAGTCTGCTTGATTCATATTACTTCATATTACTTGATTTTTGGATTAGCTGAGCCAGAGTCCTGTAGTCTATTAAAGGGACCCTCCCACCTTCAAAAAAGTTAATGATTTATTGGCATAAAAGTGATGTCGCTCGGTTCAGAAGGAGTGAAAACGAATATCTACCAAATTTCACCAAAAAATATTCACCAGTTTTCAAGATATTAGACTTTTGCTTTTGTTTACTTTTTGGATCCCTCCTGTTTCTAGCAACTTTATTTGGAAGCAATAATTTTGCAGCCTTGAAGTGCGGCAGACGTTGCGCGTAAAGCAGCGTAGAGGTACCATCACGTGTTAACAATGGTTTTAGTCTAAGATTTAAAAATTGTTAGATCTCCACTGACGTCACAAATTCTAAGGGGGCATCCCAATGCATTAGCCCTTTAGAATCCAAAAACTGCAAGCTTGAAATTCCATATCTCCGAATTAAAGCATTTTTCGATGTTGTGAGTGCCCAAACCGGTATTTGCAGGCCATGACCCCACCAATTTGGCTATCTCAACTCAATACTGATGTTAAGGTGGGATGGTCACTTTAATGTTATAGCACTTTAAGGCTCACCTCCCTGGGCGGGCTGTGCACTCCTGGCTCAACCTGGAGGAGATACAATTACCCCAAATGCACCAAATGCCTTCCAGATCCAACTGATAGTGCAGACAACAGGTCACCTACAAAGCCCATATATAGTGACCACTTCTATATGTTTGGTGTAGTTGGCGGTTTACTGTATCCAAGAACCAGTCAAAGAAAGTCAAGAATCAGAAAAAAAAACTAAGTCCCCAACCCCTTGGGGCTGGGACGAGTGACCAGCGGCCTTTGACGAACGATGAGTAACATTTCGCGGAATCGGCAAAATGGGGCGATCGACCTGGGGAATGAGACGAGAGACGGTGGCTAGGACGAAGGATGGCTGGCTGAACAAACGACGGACGGCTGGGACGCGTGGCTTGTCCTGGGACAGACTTTCAAGGACGAGGGACCGTCGGACGGGTCGAGCCGTCAATCGAAGTCGAGTGGTATTGCGTGGTTCAGGCTATCGCTCAGAGTAGTTTTTGCAAAGACAAATTCTCCATTCCTCCGTTACTACGATATTAGGTAAATGGTAATTAGAGCAGCCCCTCGGATAACCAAAAACGCAACGAAGATACTAGGAACTAATCAAGTTGTACTAGAAAAACGAACTATCAATCAAACGGAATCTACCGTTCTTTCAAATAAGTCCTTTTAATCATTTTAATTTAATTTAGTCTGTTTAATTTAATCAAACAAGTCCGATTTTCCCTTCCTGACAATCGTAACGACGTTACAGAATGTAGGAAAAGGGATGGCTCGTGTTACCGAATGGCCATTACCCGATGGGGGCTTGTTCCAACTTCCATGCATGAATTTGAATCTAGAACTGAGCTGATTCATTCGTTGACATCTCTATGCATTTATAGGTGAATGGCCATGTCTAATAAAGGGAAACCAAGCGTCAGGGAAGCTGAGATCGAAAAATGTCGAGAAGAGGGAAATTGGAAAAGAATAATCGACTTGGCTGAGCAGGTGAAGCAGAGAGCGCCTTCTTCAGGTAAGGCGTGCGCAAAATACGTGAAGCGTATCGCATAGTACGTGACTCTTGCTCTACATTTTACAAGAGATAACTGCTTTAAATTTGCAAATGGAGTTCTCGGGTTTTTATGTTTTGGTACCTATTAAGTATGCGTTGTCGTAACTGTATTTCCCTATCCGTGTGTTTGTGCACGCAGAGCCTCTGGCCACGTTCCTGATCTCCGAGGCTCGACTGGAAGCCTACCTGGAGGAGAACCCTCCCACTGAGGCGAACCACGAGCGGGCTCGCAGCGAGCTGCGCGCCGTCCAGCGGCAGCTCACTTCCGCCGCGTCGGCCGATCCCTCACAGAAGGTGGATATGACCATCGACGCCCACCTGCTGCTCGGCAAATTGCACTACGCCATGGGCCTGTACGAGGACGCGCTGCTCAACCTGTCCCGCGCCGGACTCGACACTCTCTCCAAGCGCCAGCTGCCGACGCGCAGCCTGCGGGTGGTGGCGGAGTCGTACGCCGTCAAAGGTCTTTGTCTAGAGAAGGTGCCTCTGGCCAGCACCAGCAAGTTCAAGGCGGCTGAGCGCGAGGAGGCCATCATATCGTCGTTTGAGTTGGCCAGTGACCTGGCGCTGCTGTATCTCCAGGAGATGGACCGGTCCGGTACTACACAGAGCACATGGAGCGTGCACACGGCTGGGTCGTCCAGCTCGCCCCTTCCGCCGCCCTCCGAGAACCGGCTGGGCCTGATCCTGGAGACAGCCCTGCAGAAGGCGCCGATCCTCAGTCTGAAGGCGGGTCAGATGCCGCGCGCCATCCAGCGCTACCGCATGATGCTCAGCGCCGTCGAAACGTCCGCCACGCAGGGGGTGCGTCTGGCGATGGCACGTCGCCTCTCGGAGATTCTGCTGCGCGGCGTCAGTGACCGCGCCTACCACCAGCTGGACGCTGTGCTGGTCAGCGCACAGAAGAAGAGCTCGGTCGGCGGCCGGCCGGCCGTGTCGCCATGGAAACCACGCCGTCAGGCGGGCACCAACCTGTTCGTCCCCAAAGACATCAACGAGGAGATAGTGCTGCTGCTGCTCATCAGTGAGGCGCTGGCAGTGCGCGAGGCGGTGCTCACGCAGTCGCCAGAGACACGCGAGGCGCGCCACAAGTCCTATGAAGTGGCCACCTCTGTGTACGACCTGATGACGATGGCGCTGGTTAGGAAGGGCCAGGCAGTCATGCTCTGTGAGGTGAGTAATGCGGCGGCGGCGCGTATACGCCCTACAAGCTCACACTGTGCCCTACAATGTACGCTCTACAGTTACACTCTACGCTCTACACTGTCGTCCGAAAGGGTGAACTTTTGTCTTATATTCATGATGCATAAAGTTACTTGCATTTAGCTTGTCAGTTTACCACTAATGGCAATAAATTACCCCGTAGATGGGATATAAATTTTCAATTTTGCCTAGTGCATGCTGGTGAATGTGTTAACCTCAGAGATGCTGCTGCTCAGCTGACCGCTGTACCCCGCTCCCCCCAGTCGCTGGAGCGCGCGCTGCGGTTCAGTTTCGAGGAGGCGCACGTGTGGCAACAGTACGCGCTGTCGCTGGTGGCCGCCGGCCGGCCGGAGCGGGCTCTCCTCGTTCTGGAGGAGGCTGTGAGACTGAACCCTGGTCAGACGGTCCTGCTCCTGCTGGCTGCCAGAACCTGCTACCAGCACCTGCATCAGGTGAGATCGGATCTGCTACCAGCACCTGCATCAGGTGAGGCGGGAGCCTGTTAATCCACATGGAGTGCTGAGAACATAATGAAAATTAGCAATATTTCAAATCTGCCTGCTAGATCTGTATTACAATGATGTTGCATTTGTCCAAAGTTACCTGCGTGACAGTGTGGTTGCATTAATTGTCGTCTGTTCTATGATACAGTTGTGTTTGTCGTCAGTCGTGTTTGACAGTGTCATTGTATTTGCCTCCAGTACGAGGACGGTGTACGTTGGAGCGAGCAGGCCGTGCAGCAGGGTACCGGCCACGGCGGCAGCGGCTCCGTGGGCCTGGCTAGTCGCGCCCACCTATATCTGGGTATCGGGCAGATGCTGCTCTCGGCCCAGTCACGGCAGCAGCAGCACAAACAGAGACTGGCCGACTCGGCGGTCGACAACTTCAGACGGTGAGTCTTACTTGGAGAGAGGGAGGAGGAGACTTGGGGATGGGGAAGGGTATTATCTTCCACTCGGAGCCATGAAGAATCCTCTATGTATCAGAGTAAGGGGAATGGATGGATGGTTACAGGGAGATAAATTTCGCAGATGGGTATAGGCTGAACAGAGGGAAATTCACGGGGTAGAGGGATGACGTCTTGGGCAATGGTAGATGTGTACCATGCAGAGAATCGCTGATAAATGCGTTTGGAGCTCATGTTTGCTGAATCCTGACCCTGTGTGCATGTGTAATGTGTCTGTGTTGGAAAAATGTTCGGAAACACCTACGCCCAATCGTTAGACCGTTTACTGTCCTGTTCTCAGACCACTCAGAGAGCTAACCCGCCTCTTTCCCCGACCAGATGCCACGAGCTGGACCCGGGCGACCACCTGGCCTCGTTCTACCTGGGCTACCAACTGGCCCGTGCACGTGAGGTGGACGAGGCGGTGACTCACGTGCGCACGGCGCTGCAGCGTCGGCCCGA